CTCCCAGTCCTGCCGTTCATCAGGCAACTGAGAACAAAATTTCTAACTGTCCTTTAATGGATACAATGGGTGCTGCTTTAGAAACTGCTAGGAATATAGTCAGTATACAGATTTAAAAATTAATTTTCAAAAATCTGTTATTATATCTAACTATCCCTATTATAGAACAAAACAAAATTTAAAAAGCATCTCATTTTGAGTCATGCTATTCAAGTTTTAAATATTTAGGAATATGGGTAACAAAAAACATCAATTAATTTACAGAAACTATAAAAATCTATTAAAATTAGCAAAAGAAAAAAATGACAAAGTGGGTTAATTTGAAGCTATCAATGTTGGGTTGAATAGCTCTAATTAAATCATATATATTATCAAAATTTCAATTTCTATTCCAAAATATTCCACTACAGCTAGATACAAAAAAAGTGAAGCTATGGCAAGGAAAGCTAGAAGAATTCATTGCAGGAAAGGGAAAGAAGATAAGATTCATAAATAGTGTTAAATATAGACAGGGTCAAAAGGGGGGAATTAGGGATACTAAAGCTCCAAAAATATTATGAACCTCTACAAATAAACCAAATTATTAAATTTATACAAATCGATGAGACTCACAAGAATTCTGATTGGGTGGAAATGGAAAGTGAAATGAAAATGGACATAGTAAATCAGTATACTAAAATAATTAGAAAAGAACAAATACAGAACCCATTCATTTCCAAAATATTAAGGATATGGCGAAAACATAGTAAAACTTTGGCCCTGCCAATATCCCTTTATGCCCCTTTTTTGGATCACCCAGATTTTAAGTCTCAAGAGAAATATGCACAATTTAAGGAGTGGGTTACTATCTATTTTATATTAGAATATATAGAATTACAGTGGTGCCCCGTATAGCGAGGTTAATCCGTTCCGGATGAACCTTCGCTATACGAAATCTTCGCTAAGCGGGAAGTAAAAAGCCATTGGAACGCATTAAACTTCATTTAATGCGTTCCAAATCGGCCCTAAACTTCCCACTTAGAGAAGTTTCCTGGCCCCGGGCAGCCATTTTCGCGCCCTCCCCTCGCTTGCCGAGGGCGCGAAAACACAGCGCGGGGCCATTTCGGGTCATCCGGCGCCCATTTTGGAGCCACCGATCAGCTGATCGGTGGCTCCAAAATGGCCGCCGGACGCGAAAACATTGCTGGAGGAGTAAGTTTGGACGCTTACTGGAACGCATTAAACTAAGTTTAATGCGTTCCAATAGGCTTTCCTTGCCCGTACAGCGATGTATGCGGGGCACCACTGTACATAGAATTGTAATATGGCTTCTTAGAGAAACGTCTAGATTATGATGACAGTACTTTTAGATATTTTATCCATGGACAAGACTGATACAAAGTGACACTGCTTCCCATGTGCTGGTCTGGGCAGCAAAGAGCTAGCAAACTCCAGGAATACTTGAGAGAGAAATACAGTATGGCTAATAGTCTATGATAATTATTATTCACTAATGTCACTAGCTTAAAGGCAGAATTTCTTGAACCTCCAGGACAGCGCTTCAGCACATTTAAACATAGCACATCAACCAACCAATCAGACACCAAACCAAACACGCTTATCATTTAATGGGACATAAGTAATATGTAATTTTTATTGATTTTTCTTACAATAAATGGTACAGATTTTAATTTAAGATGGTTTATTTTTCATGTTTTGTCTCACAGCTGCCCGGATGCAAATGACTGTTCAAATAATTCTGTATACGAATGAAGACTTTGTATTTGCATGAGTTGAACAAGAGCCCAGTACAGCACATGACACACAAATGTATCATGATGCAACTTTTCATGTAGTAGAGTTTACTTCATGCATAAAGTGCTGCCTTCATACATACATATAGTGCAGAACATACAGGGATGGGGGTTCTTAAAAATGGGTTTAGCTGTCTACACAATGCAAAATTATAGTCTGTAACCATTCAGTCAAGACTTCTCTGCAAATAAAATAATCCCAGTGATTTATTTGTTTTTTTTTTTTGAAGTCACTTCAATAATACATTTTTTCTCAAAAGCTAGAATTGTTTTGGGAAAAGGCTGTGAGACTCAGAATAAAAAGTCAATACTAGGAGAAAATAAGGGACGTGAAAAAGTGTTGTGGATGAACAATATCTGGTACAAACATCATATTGAGTTATTATAATTACCGTATTTTTCGCACCATAAGACGCACTTTCCCCCCACAAAACAGGGGGGGTGGAAAGTCTGTGCATCTTATGGAGTGAAGAAAACAGATTATATTTTCCTGTTTAGTGTTGTGGATGAACAATATCTGGTACAAACAACATATTGAGTTATTATAATTACCTGTTTTAAACTGGAAATTTCTTCCCCCCACCTTTTTATGTATAATATATTGTATATTGCACATTGTAAAGGCCTTTGGTCAGAAACAATAATTCTGCAGCAAAACTGGTAGCTCCTCCAAAGCAGGACAATAGTAGAATCATAGAATGATCAAGTTGAAAGGGGCCTATAAGGCCAGATATATTAGTATACTGTATATCAAACATATCAGCATATTTAATTTAGTCTAATTGCATACATTGTGCTCTCCAATTACAACAAAGAAAGAAAGAAAGAAAGAAAGAAAGAAAGAAAGAAAGAAAGAGAAAGAAAGAAAGAAAGAAAGAAAGAAAGAAAGAAAGAAAGAAAGAAAGAAAGAAAGAAAGAAAGAAAGAAAGAAAGAAAGAAAGAAAGAAAAGCACGCCACTAATAAAATACTTCCTGCTTCTCTTGCATGTGCAAAGAAATTATTCTGTTCTTTGCTTTTGGATACACAATTTCCTGTGTTCATGCTAACCAGGTCTGGGTCCAAATGAGAGCTAATCATGGTTAAATGCTGGATTGTAAAACTCAAACTAATCAAGTTGGGGGGTTCTGCTAATGGTCCTGTTAGCTTTAATTATGAAGACCAGTATCCTATTGCTGCCTTTCACTCACAAAATATCCTGTTGCATGAGTGCTTGGACAGCAATAGAATTTGCATAAGGAGGCAATCAGTACCTTCTTAGGCAAACCAAAGCTCCCTGAATGTTATGGGAAACTCTGTGATCTTGGTCTTTGAAACTGAGAACATGTGCAGCAATATGGGCAAAGTGTACACTGGCCAAGCACTCTAAAAGAACATTGAGTGGAATTTGTAGAGAAACAGAGAACATTCCTATGGTTAGGAGATCTAAAAAATTACATGTCTGCACCAGACATTAGGAATATGCACCACTCAACAAAAGGGTGGACTCATAAGAAGATCAGTAGTTGAATACCAGGATTAAGAAATTTCTTTGGGAAATTGCTTGTGCGATTGACAGTTCAATGAAAACTCAGAGGGCAGCAGCAATGAAGATCATGGCAAAATCCACACAAGAAAAAAGGACCGAAAATCAAACAGCCAGTATCCCAATATAAATGGCCATTATGACTATAGTCAGAATACCCTGTGCTAGAGATGGGGAAAAATTTAGTATTCACACATCTCTGAATTTTGCAATAACTATCTAGCTAGAAGAACAACAAAAAGTGCTTATCTTAGAGGAAAACATGGACAAAAAAGGCCTAATATGAAACGTCTTTTATTTGGTAAAACTGTCTGAAAAAGTTGTTTATATTGAGCAAAAATAATATATAGAAATTAGTGTTTTGGAAGACAGGCATGCAAAATTATGTGTAGAAATGGGTGTTTTGAAAGTTGCGCACACAAAATTTGAAACAACATTTCTGTGGCTTTTTGAAAAAAATTCAGACTGATGTAGACATGGGACAGAACTATTTTAAAATGAGAAAAAGATGAAAGCGAGAGAAGTGAAAGCAGAAAGATTGGCCCACCTCTACTGTTTAGCCTGGAAGACAGGCATACAAAATTATGTGTAGAAATGGGTGTTTTGAAAGTTGCGCACACAAAATTTGTAACAACATTTCTGTGGCTTTTTGAAAAAAATTCAGACTGATGTAGACATGGGACAGAACTATTTTAAAATGAGAAAAAGATGAAAGCGAGAGAAGTGAAAGCAGAAAGATTGGCCCACCTCTACTGTTTAGCCTTGTTGCCGCATATGGAATACCCCGATTGAATCATTTGCAATTGAAATGATATTCCAGAGCTGTGCAAATATCAACCTGCATGATCCAGGGTTGGCACATTTCCCTTCAATGGAGATCTGAAGTGCTTAAAACTTATTAATTTAGATAGAAGGCAGTAACAGGGAAATTTTAAGAACATTATAGGTGTTTATGAGCCTTCTCCAGATATTTGAAAAGGGACTAAAGTAAAAATTGTAGGAGAAGAGTACTATCTCCTTCTTGTCCATTTTGTTTCTACCCATGTGGAAAGTTAACCTAGATAACACCTCTATGCAATTCTAGAATTCTGCTTTTTCAAGGTTTCTGATGACATAGAACCCAATAGGTAGAAATAACTCTCCTGATATAACTTTCCACATGAGGAAAAATAGGACATGACAACACACTCCTCCCCTTTACTTTATCCCAGAGATAACTTTAACCCAGAGTGGCCGTACAGTTGTATGCAGCCCTCAAACCTATATTTATGCCCCAGGACCTATTAGTCTCTCACAGCTCCCTGCTACTGCAAGCTTCCAAAACCATAACTTCACCTTCTAAATAGGTTTCAGCCTCCCCTGCAGTGTTTAAGAGCCCAGAATACTATTATATAAGTAGCTGATGAGTTATCAATGAACTTAGTTGTACAGAAATGAAAGGGCTGTGCTGCTGAATGGGAATATTGAATGGAGGACACCCAAAAGTGATGGCATGACTGACATTGCTTCTTCGATAACAATAAATTTGTGTATATCAATTAAAAAGATTAAATACCAGAGGATACTCACCAGTGAGGATAATAACCAGTGAGTTTCAATTTTAATAACCTCAAAACATAACTAATTTCTTCCATAATGCCACGTAAATCCCAAAGACCTCAAACTCATTTCCTTTTTTACAAATAAGCAAAATTGTATTCAATTTATGTGTTACCTGATCTGGGGCTGCAGTTCCCACTAAAACCAGAAAGAAAAGAAAAGAAAAGAAAAGAAATTAACTAGTGTGGAAAGGAGGAGTACATAAAAACATTTGTCAGTTTTCAAATGCATTCTAAACCTAATTTTTGCACTTCATTCCTATGGTATTAAACAAGAGAATTTTGATCAGATGTAAAATTCTCTGATACTATTCAAAAATGGTTAGTTTGATCTCAGAGCAGGGATGTGGGCTATAACAAGAGTAAAACCTGACTCATACCCAGACTTACTTTACGGCCCATTATTTACTGTATTTTTCCGTGTATAAGACACCCCCACTTTTCTAACCCAAAATTAAGAAATCTAAGTGGGGCTTAGAATATGCAGTGTTAAAAGGATAAAAGTGCTGCAGGATGGCTTTGAACTCTGCTTTCTCCCTTTGTGCTAAGCCCCACGTGGCTTAGCAAAAGGCAGGGGAAAGGGATCAAAGCAATTCCATGACTGCACAATCATTTTGATCTCTTTCCCCCTTATACAGCCACAGAATTGCTTTGATCCATCCCCCCTCCTTTTGCTAAACCCCATGGGACTTAGCAAGCAGAGGGGAAAGGAGGGATCAAAGCGATCCTGCAGCACTTCGATCCCTCCTTTCCTTTTGCTAAGGCTTAGCAAGTGGAAAGCAGGGATCAAAGCCCTGCAGAATCACTTTGATCCCTCCTTTCCCCTCCACTTGTTTTTTCTCCTCAGCTTACTTCCATGTATAAGATGACCATCAATTTTTAGTTTAAAGTTTTTAGACAAAAGTATAGTCTTATAAACAGAAAAATATGGTAAATGGTAATATGATAGTCCTCATCTCAAGATTAAAGTTAAAACAAGATTTGCAAGGAGTTTGATATACCACAGTGCAAAGTGTAGCATTGATATTAAATTACTTTAAGTTAGCTGAAGCCAGTACAATGGGAAGTTATGAGAAAACAGCATGAGATCAGAAGTGGGTGTGAGAGAGAGGGAAAGAAAGGGAGAGAGATTTGAAAAATACAGCTGCAACAAAATAATTAGATGAGGTACTCTGGATTTAGAGTTAAATTTGTCTCATGGGGTTCTTTAAATATTGATTTTTCATACTTGAGGAAAAGAGAAAGAAAAAGAGGAAATTAAATAAGGATTTTAAGTAAAAAAATTAATTCCAAAACCCTACCCACACTGATTCCTTAGGTCCGTGGTCCCCAACCTTTTTGGGGCTGCAGACCGGTTGAGGGGAGCGAGCTCCATGCGCGAGCATGACACGCCCACCGTGACATGGCCCCGCGTGAGCATCATACTCCCCCCACACGAGCGTTACATGCCCACTGCACGTGCGTGTGGGTGTGTGTGGAGATTTGTATCTGCGGCCCCGTTCCAGCAAGCCCATGAACTGGCACCGGGCCGCAGACCGGGGATTGACAACCCCTGCCTTAGGGAGCATAGGGGAATTTTTCACAGGTGTAATTTCACTAAAGATTACCCAGTTCAGTGAAAGAAGCTGAACTTGAATCAGTCAAGAATGCTACCTGCCAACCCAATGTTTGTTGAGAAAATGGAAGTGTACAGAATGACTACAGCAAGTGACACAGAGACATGGCATGCACCAAAAAATACTTGCCACATTCAATCTAATAGAAAATCAAGGTTCTTCATCATGTATATGTATAAAGTAAAGATGGACATGAACGATTTTAAACTGGTTCATAAAGGCAGCACATCAGACCCCAACTTGCTTGTTTTTTCCCCACCTCAGCTAATCTCCCAATCATGAGCAAGAGCACAGATTTCTCTTCCCACCCTTTTGTCTGAGCAGGAGATCATCCAAGAGGGTGGGGCAGAGAAGCCTGAGCTGTTGCTGGGACTGGAACATCAGTTGAGGCGGCGCAAGAAGCTAGCACGCTGGGCTGATTGAGCCAGAAGAGGGAGGGGAGGGGAGTAGCAGCAGCTATGCTGCCACCTTTGTGAACTGAGATGAACTGGGATGGACTGGTTTGTGCCCATCTCTAGTATAAAGCCCTCCATGGTCAGAGTGTCTCTCCCTAATGTCATCTACCTGACCCACCAGATCTTCCCAGGCCATGCTCCTTTGGGTAGCCTCTCCGAAGGAGGCCCCAAAGTAATTCATGAGAGGTTGGGTCCTCTTTGCAGACTTTGTGGAACCAGCTCCTGGTGGAACTATGCCTATCCCCTTCCCTAGTAACATAGAAGGCTACTTAAAACACTGCTTTTCATGGAGGCTTTCAACACTGTCCCTGTTTGATTTTATGTCTCCTGTCCTGCTGTCACATACGAGAATTTGCCTTTGGTGCCACTTGTGTTTAACTTGTTAAAAGTTTTTAATTTTATCGTCTATTTATAGTTTACTATTATATGTTTTTTATTTATTGTTGTAAACTGCCCATAATAGTCAATCAATCAGTCAACCAATCAATCAATCAATCAATGTGGAAGCTACACATAAACAGGAATATCTTCTCCACAGACATGGAGAAAATGGCAGGAGGTGTATGTTGGCAAGAATCAGGTAAGTAATTACTAAAAGAGCTTTTAATCTTCTTTTTCATCTGTTTAATAAAGAATTTTGAATAAAACCAATACGATTTGTAACTCATTCAAAATTTAATTTTTGTTAAATTCTATCAAATATTCAGCTCCAGAGCAAGTTGTAAGTAAGGATGATTCAGATCTGAACCCTAACAAGGGAGAAGGGCTTTAATTCTTTCTCTACTCAACCACGAAATTGATTCAGATGGAGGTGGAAGCACACCTACTATTGAAAGGGGGGGGAATTCGCATTGGTGCTGATAGGAATTTTTCTCCAAATGCAAACAGCAGACATGCAGCTTCTAATTTAGATCAGAACAGAATGGAGACAGAAGGTTAAAGATCCCAAAATAGTCCTAAGCCAGAAACAGAACAGAAACTCTATGCCTGCTCTTCTCTTTTTAAAAGTAATTTATTCAGATACCACTAACTGCATTCACCTGAAACTTTTCAACCCATAAAAGATATTCTTCTATTTGCTCCATACTTCTCAGTTTCTAGGACTACAACAGTGTCCAATTCCCAGCTCCATTTTTTTTCTTATATGCCTTATACAAATAATAATATTTTGGATTGACTCATTTAATCATGGGGATGTGAAAGGTGTCAGAAGACGTTTTACAAAAAAAAATGTCCTGATTACATGCCCATATTTTGAGAATGGCTTTAAAACTATTTTATGTGCTGGAATAGGGAATTTGGAATGTATGAAGAAACGTTCTACATCTTTATAATACAATGGAATTTGGTATAAAGAGAGAGAGACATGCTTGAAATTTAGTCCATAATTAATAGGAGCCAACAAAGAGCCCACCATGCTAAATATGTGACAATATACTGGGTCATGGAAATTCCATTATCCTTTGAGGTACTTGAACAGCCTTCAAATGATTTCCACTATCAACTAGGAAGCATGTATCTATGCTTGTACAAGGCAAGGAAAGCTGATGTTGTCTAGAGGGGCGGGGTAAAAAT